AATAGGGAAAGTCTGAGGAAACGCTCCAGAGGAGACATGACAAGCGGGTGTCATACGACTGCAGATCTCATCAGGAAGAAACATTTGGGGGACACAATGAACCATGAATGGATTCTCTGGATTGAGTGGCATTTTCAGATCAATGTTCATTTCCATATTTGGTGGCTTACATGCTGCTATAGAGAATGAAAAAGGACCTTCTTTTTTTTGGCCGAATCGGGGATTGAACTCAGACTCTTGCGCTTGCCAGGGAAGCATTTATTCTACTGAGCCATCTCCCCGACCCCTGGAGCTGCTTTAAAATAATTCCTGGATCACTTCTCGGCCTTTTGGCCAAGGTCAAGTGTAGTATCTGTTCTTATCAGTTTAAAAATAATTTCTGGAATGTTCAATGGTAGAAGAGAATAACATACTACAGGCAATGTGCTCTCAAAATATTCAAAATAAAGGCTAATGATTATATGTGAAATAATTTTATATTAAAATTATACATAGTATATGGATAGATATGATTTGTATTTTCCTTTGAAATGATATATTTATATACATATATACACAGAGAGAGACATAGGAGAAGGGAAATGGACTAATATTTTGATTGCAATATCACAGGAGCATAGAAAATGATTATACAGTTGTTCTTTGGTATCTTTTGCGAGTTTCTTTCAGAACTCCTATGGACTGCACCAAAATCCATGTATATTCAAATTGTTATACAAAGCAGCCCAGAGTGGACCTATCATACACTTGTTCCTGTACACATTCATTTATCTCTATTTAACCTATAATAAATATTTAATGAAAGGTAAGTTTGACATAAGTTATTGCAATCTCTTTTGTTAGGGAAAATAGAAATGAAAAGAGTCTGTGCATATTCAGCGCAGACACATTTTCCCTGAATGTTCTTGGTCCGTGCTTCATGGAAGCTATGATTGTGGAAACCTCAGAAGTTGGGTTGACTTCCTGTCCTCGCCTCATACCTATATGGTAGTGTTGGTGTGGAGAAAGAGCCCCCAGCCAAAGGCTGACAGGAAAAGTCCAGCAGGCCAGGAGGCAAACCATGGTCTCCCAGCAGACCCTCTAATCAAGTCCTTGCTTCAGTAGTGAGTTGCCGCCACGGCTATAGGCCTTAACTGTAGATTTCTAGTTCTTCTTGGAAGGCGAATGCCTCTGACTATCCCCACTGCCCAACTTTGACTAACATGGTCTGAGGATATCTGGGGAAAGCTCCAGAATTTCTATAGGAAGTAGGATTTGCAGCAACCTGGCTTAAAAGAGAGACCAGAGATTTGCCTTAAAGCTTTATTTACAAAAGAAGCACACTGTTTTTTGTGCATACTGCTTTACTTGCTTGAAGGTCTTTGGCCGGTTGGTGCATTTATCAGGGAAGCTAATGTGCTTTCCAATCCAGCCCTGCCATCTGCCAAGCCATTCCTTGATACCACAAATCTACACATGGCTGAGTCAAGGTCAGGGCTAGCAGATTCTCCAGCTGACTCTCCAGGAGACAAGGAATACTCAGGACAAGCTGATGAGTAACTACAGGGACTGACTGACCTCAGAAAAGGCTGGGGCAGGTAGGGCTGGGAGGGTTGTTTTCCAGCATGACACACCGTCTGGACCAACCTGAGGCCTAAGAGTGACTCACACATGAGGAGGAAAGACAAGGTTCAAGAGAGCAAGGCAATGTTGGGAGTCATATGCAGTGACTGTAGGTGGGCAGGGCAGCAGGTTAGGGGTCAGGGGCCAAGAGGGCAGAAGAGGACACAGGCCTGGGAGAGGGTGAGAAGGCAGACATCTACAGTCAGGGTGTTGGAACCTTTCTCTCGAGCTACTTTCCTGGATTCCAGCCAAGCTGAGCGACACACACCTTTCTCACTGAATGAAAGCCTTCGTTAAATAGTCTCAGGCAGGGAACATTTTGAGTCACTGCTATTACTTTGTGGAATGAACCTTAAAGACTTACATTAGCAAGAAAGCACTGGAGAGGAAGGGTGGTGGGTGCACCCCAATTACTATCAGTGACTGCCAGTGTGGAGTGAGCCTGACTGGGTTATCCTGTATCTGGATGTCCCTCCTCTTTAATTCTAATATTTATATGGCCTTTCATATACATAGCTGAATGGGACCCACTGATAGCCCATTCAGATAGCCAGAAAAGGAATTATTATCCCCACCGTGTAAAAGATAAAACAGATTTAAGGCTAGCAAGAAATATATTTAAGGTCACAAGAATTCAAAAAATGGAGCTGGGAGTAAAACCCAGATTTCTGAACTCCAAATGCCTCCAGCCCATCCTGTGTAGCAGCACAAACTCTCAGCGTTTCCACAGACAGCTCCGCAGCCTCAGCGCCTTCCCAGCCACAGCAGGATGGAGCTCCGTGAGTTGCCTCCATTTACACACAAAACTCAGGACAAGAGACACATAGAGAAGGAGGCTGAGCTCCTGCAGAAGGAGTAGAGAAAAGAAGAAGAACAAAGCCCACGGTTAGGAAGAGCACAGCGCCTAAGAAAAGTGTACACAGCATCTCTAAGTCACCCAGAGCTTGGGATCTATCTTTACACACTCATTGCTGGAGCAACATACATTTGTACCCATGTTTACATAAATGTCAATACTTCAATGTTTATTTAGGAGAGAAAGAGGACAACCACTATTTAAGAAGTATTTCCTGTATATCAGAGATGCTTAAATTCTTTCTCTTTTAATCTTGGGAGCTAGATGTAATCTTCATGTTTTTTTTAATAGATGATGAATTTAAAGTTTAGTGAAGTGAAAACAATGTGCCCAAGGTCGCAATGCCTGGCTGGCACAAAGGTTAATCTGACTGGGAAGTCTCCTCTTCCCTTTATCCCACATTAATAATGCCTTGGACCTGGTCTCTGTCATTTAAAAGTTTGCAATCAGACTTAACCACTCTGTTAGGTACATCACAGGCTGGAAAGCATTTGAACTAATGTATGCTCCAAAGAGAATGCTAACGGGTAATTCGAGGTATACTAATTCCCACCTGAGTTATAGTGCTTCCACTTGCCCCAACCCAGAGAAATGAGAGGTTGAGTTTAAGTCATGGTGGATTGCAGCTCCCTGGCATGAAGTTAGGAAACCTGGAAGAGAAGCGGCCAGGCTTGGGCATACGCACTCCGCTGACTGCGAGAGTGTGCGCTTCAGTCGCTGCCTGGCTGCAATCTTGTGTATCCACGGTGTGTTTTGGAAAATGAGAAAGCACTAACTTGTAGCATCTCAAATAGGTTCTGAAGAGCATACACAAAAATGTTTTCACGCTTTCATTTCAGTCTTCACAGAAAACATATGCAGTTCTGTTGCATCAAACCATTTATGAAACACCCAGATTGCCAAATGGATCTAATCTGATAGTCTGGTAGTTGAATGCATTAGAAGAATTAGAAAAGAGCTGTATCACTTGTGATTAAATCAAAGTCCCAAAGTTTTGAATTCTGAGGATGAAAAAAAATGTAAAAAATCACTAAAATGGTCTATTTTACTCACTCTATGACAGTACAAGTATTGCCCAGCAAGGCATGGTGGCACATGACTCGCAATCCCAGCATTCAGGAGGCTGAGGCAGGAAGATGACCACAAGTCTAGGGCCAGCCTAGGCTGCACTGCGATTTCAAGGTCAGCCTGAACTACACATCGAGATCTTTTTTCAAAATTAAATTAAATTGTAAAAAAATAGAAATATTGTCCAGATGCTTGGCTGTCCATGTCTCTCAATGATACCAGGTCTGTAGTCTGAAGGCCCAAGAGAGAACTCTGAAGTTTTATTTCAGGTATATAACTATCAATGCAAGAATTTCCTTGCTGGACTTCTTAGCATGACTCAGTTTGTTCAGGTAAGCATTAGAACAAGAAAACTCTACTGCTACTATTCTACTACTTGTAAAATTCTTCAAACACCACACAAACCTGGATCCAAAGTATCATAGAAAGCAGAGTTAGAAACGACTGAGAGATACTCCCTGGAAAATACTGACTCTCCTTAGCAATGCAAAAGCTCACGCACTAATGAAATGCAGGGGCCGGGGAGATAGCTCAGTAGAATAAGCACTTGCCTGGCAAGCGCAAGGGCCTGAGTTCAATTCCTGGTTCAAAAAAAAAAAAAAAAAGAAAAAAAAGAAAGAAATGAAATAATGCATGTATGAAATGATTATCTGCTTGCAAAGAAAAGACTGTTTGCGACTGCTGTGCACTTTACTGTAGTCTCCTACAAGCAGAAACTCTCAGAACTCAAGCGGCCCTTTTTTGTTAATCTCATGCTGAGATCAGGTAATGAAAGCAAAGAAAAGTGTTTCAATGACAATGGCAATTTTGTGGGGAATATTCCGTGAATAAACTATTCAGTTTAAAAACTGACCTACAAATGCTTTTGAGGGTCGTTTTAATGATTACCTTAATAAGACCAAATTGCTTCCAACATTAACAGGCACTCACTCTTCGAGTTACATGCTTGAGAAATTTCTAAGCAAGTTTGGGTAGTTACAACTTGCAGGAGAAAAGCAATAAAGTAGCACTCCTGCAAGACAAAGCACCCCTGTCCGCAGACTGGAAGGGGATGGCGCAGACCTGCGCTTACTCATGCACTGCCTCTCGGAGCCTTACGGGGTTTCTTTAGATGCCTTCGCGCAGTTTCTCAACGGATACACCTTCATACCGTACGTCGTGAAACTGAAGGCAGAGACGTGACTCCCCGGGCTCCACGCCTCAGCGCCCAGGCCGGCAGGGCCAGCTGGGACACCTGTGCCCACCCCGCAGCCCGCAGCCCGAGTTCGCATCAGGATTGCTCTTTGCTCCGAGGGAGACAAAGACAGAACTCGGCGCGCTGCGCCTCACACCCGCAGGAAAAGTTCTGCCCCGGAGCCTGGAGCGGGTCTCGTGCCAGCTGCAAGCCCGCCGTCCGCGCAGCCGGGGCGGGCGCCACCGCGGTCCCCATGCCCGTTCCCCGCCCGCCCTCTTCCCGCGTCCGCGCCCCACTCACCCCTCTCACCGCTCACGCTCGCCCGCGCCCCAGCCCGCCGCATGCCCTCGGACCGAGCGCAGGGGCGGCGGAGCACCGGACCCCACCGAGCGCCGGGGGCGGCGAGGACTCCGGGCTGCGGGCGGGCGGGCGGGCGCCTGCTCCCCTGCGGCAGCTGCGGCGCGCGGGGCTCAGGAAAGTTCTGCCGGGCAGGGAAGGAGGCGATGGAGGGACCCGGCGCGGCGCCCCGCCCCTGCAGCTCCGCGGTTCCCACCCGAGAGCGCCCCCAACCGGCCAGGCAGCCCCCCGCTACGCGCCACCCACTGCATACCCAGCCGGAAGGCCAACAAGGCAAGGAGGGACTCCCCGAAAGACAGGCCCAGCCAGCGGGAGGTTCCTCGTACCTCGGAGGGAAACCCAGCCCTCTGCCCTGAGTCCTCCCTGGACAGGGAGAGATCTGCTCTAAGCGTCTTCGGGGAGCAGCGCACACCCACTCCTGCGAAGGCAGGCTTGCTGTCAGGCCCAGACCCACCCTGTGACAGCTCCACAACTGGAACCCCAGAGCTACCAGCCAAGGATGTTTTTGTTCACAGGCCCTGGCCATCTGAGTGCCCGCCCCCCACCTCTTTCTTTTTAAATTGAAACAAGATATAAAACATATTTAAGCTTCTTGACCTCCTAGAATAAACAGTCCTGTGCAAATTGTTTCTCAAAGCTGACCCACCTTTGGCAAAGAAGAAAGATGCGAAGTAAAACAAGTGTCACAAAGGCTTTGTTCTTTCTGGACTCTGCAAAACAAAACAGACGTCACCCGGGAATTCAAAGTTGGGCCTTCCTGGTAAATTATAAGAAGGAAATACTAGGAGATCAAAAGTTCCTCCACTCCTGACACAAATCCGGGAAGTCCTAAAAGCATATGCCTCGGTATCTTCCCATTCCTTTGCCATTCATTCATTCATCCACTCGTTCATTCATTGGGCATTCAACATTGCCAATGAAGCTGGACACTGTGGTGCATGCCTATAACTCCAGCACTCAGGAGGCTGAGGCAGGAAGATTGCCATGAGTTCAAGGCCAGCCTGGGCTACATAGTGACTTCAAGAACAGCCTACACTATAGTGAGACCCTCTCTCAAAAGAGAAAAACAATATTGACAATGAGTTCTTCTGTGCACCCGCTGGAAATCACATCCTGGGAAACAACCTGCCAGACAGTTGCCCCTACCATCCAAGACTGCTGTTTCTGAAGCTATTGTAATAATGTTATAGTTGTTGCCCAGCAGTTCTCACCCCATAGACCCTGAGGGCTCCAGGGATGCTGCTAAAATGTAATCAGTTTGTGCAGAGAGGTGTTTGTTCATGGGGGAATTCAGACAATGAGTATGTCGCCTTACAGATGAACTATGTGGAGAAAGGTACAATTTGCAAAGCCAATGCTAAAGATCATGCACTCATGGTCCTAGTAAAACCATTGAATATATACATGGAAGTGCCACTGGCCAGTAGCAATTCTATTCAAACATCCTGGCGCTGAAGGACAACCTGGCAAACGCAAAAATTCTCAGCCACCAGCACTTAGCCAGTAGTTGATTCAATAACTGTGCACTACGCATATTGGAAACACATTATTTGTAACTTGGGGACTTTCTATATATGAGCTTTGCAAAGTACAGGGAGCCCACAGAGACCTTTTAACATGTTTAACATGTGATGGAAGAAGGAACACATCCTGGCTACCATGTGATGTTTAATAAATGTGGGTTAGTGTGAGGGGAAAGGCAAGATGCAACAATGGAAAACAGGAGCAGCAATTGAAACGGAGGAACAAGAGCAGGGTACAAAAGGCAAAGGACGAGTAAAGTGAAAGCTGTGGCTTTCAAAAGCTGATGTTTATGATGAGGCCCGGGAGTCATCCACTCAACCTTCTGCAAGTTCTTGTTGGATCTGTGATGTCTCGTCCTCTACCAAAATGTTTTCATTACAGTTAAGATAAAAAAGGACGAGCGGGAAACCTGACGAGCTCTACTTTCCATAGAAGTCTCCTCCTCGAAAGTCACAAAGAACTTTTTCAATAGACGCTGGCTGATCAATTCCCTTGTATTTTTACGTTCCTGAGCACACAAGATTTATAGCATTGTCTCCATAAAGCGGTGGGGGGCATCGCTCAGTACTAGATAGTGTAGCACTGAAATGTAATGTCTGAAGCCATGCTGGCCTTGGAGACCGTGTACCAGACAGCGTTTACAAGGCAGACATAGATGTTTCAAGACAAATAAAATCTAAAACAGTTGGCCTCCTGCCACAGTGTAAAACAATCTGAGACCCAGGCAAGACTTCATCCTGTCTGGATTTGTAGAAAAGGCCTGTATTCCTCTGTCCCATACTCAGTTTGAACATGTGATCACACGGGCAAAGATCCATGTATTTGCATCCTTCCCTTTGGGAAGGGTCTGAAGTGAAGTTCTTTGAGTTTTATTCGTCTGTACTAAGGGGTGATGAGGGTGCCCACACAGGTGAGCAGGGTGGGAATGCTCCATGGCACACACAGTAGTGAGAAACGTAGGCGCTACCTGGAGTCACAGCTAGCTAGCAGGTCCCGAGGAAAGACTGAGCAAATAGAGAAATCCAAGGGAAAGAGGTGAGATAAACAAGGCAGGCAGTCCCTGGAGTATCTCTCAACTGACTGCACTTTTAGGAGAAAGCAACCTTAAGTCATAGAATTGTTTTTAAATTCAAATAATACAAATTTGTTTAGACTGAGGTCATTCTCACAAGAATATGGGCAAGCTCCACACATGAAATAAAAATATTTCTCAGATATTTATCTTATCACTACTTAGCTCTGTATATTTCTATGCTTCAGAAAAGAACTGCCAATTTCGAAAATAAGTCATGAGGGAAATCTTGTTCAAGCACATGTGAAAAATACATCACAAAACCATAGTAAGTCGTCTAATTTTGTTCCTATCATCCCAATATAACTCACATACAAACGTATATATTTGAGGGGCTAAGGAGGTAGCTCAGTGGTCTAAGCACCTGCCTGGCAAGCTCAAGGACCTGGGTTCCAGCCCCAGTACTACATGCAGTGCCAGCCCATGCCAAGCTGGCCACCGAAACCCGGCATGGTGGTGCATGCCTGTAATCTCAGTCCTGGGGAGGCTGAAACAGGAGGATCACTACAAGTCTGAGCTGCATAGTGAGACCCTGTATCAAATACATAAATTTGATAAAGAAATCTATATTTGATTGCTAAATTATATAGTCACCTCAATTAATAATCAAAATAATATGACCCTGGGATAAGAATAGAGGCAAAAATATTGGATGAGAATAGCTATCCCCTATGCAGACTTTAGTAAATACAAAAATACTTGTATTTGGAGAAGGCTTAGTCAGTTGTATTGGTACAGGTCATTGACTTTTGGGGAGAAAAATAAGGTTAGAGTCTCACCAAGGTAATATTATTATACATTAAAGAATTAATTTGTCAAAACAAGCAGCAATAACTCTGAAATAATTAGAAGAAAGTAAAGATTAATATTTATTTTAAATTTAAGGAGATTTTTTAAACATAAGAACAAGTAAAAGAATCAAAACTGTTAATTGATTTGGTTACAGGCAAACAGATTATTAGTACATAATAAAAATAAAATATAAAATCACACTAAAACCCAAGGCACAAAACTAGTCACAACATGTGATAGGTGACAGATTATCACCCTTTCTAAGTTGTTTATTTGGGGGCACATAGAGAGCTCTTAATAGATAAAAGATTACTATCAGAACAGAAAATTAGCCAAGTATTTGAACAACTGGCAGAAGAAGAAATACAAGTGGCCAAGACTGCATGAAAAAAGTTTCACCAGGTCAGACAATGAAAGAAGCACAAATCGAAGTGAGATGTGCGTATCACTTATTCAACCGACAAGGTTTTTCATTGTAGGGACTCCAAGCACGGAGTGAGGAGCGTCAGCAATGGGCTACTTCACGTGCTGCTGGTGGGAGGAAAGAACAGCACAACTCTTCTGCTGGGACGCATGTGGTTTAGTATATTCCACGCCTTCTCTGAGCTACGCCTTTAAGATCTCTGCCCTGAGGTGTGCCTCATGGTCTCTGGGAACAGATGTGACTTAGCTGTCATTGCCTTTCCAGCACTCTGAATTTTGAGAATGGATGGTGGTGGTGGGAAGCAAATCCTGGAGCAAAGAAAGAAATATAATTTTAAAAAAAAATGCAGCATCACAACACTGCTAGTGATAGTTAAGGTCCTGGACCTGACAGAACTGTAAAGGGACTCAGGGATGGGGGAGCGAATACCTTAGCCATGAGTCTTGTTTCTTTTTTGCAGCAGATAAGAATGAAATATAAACTAATTTTACATTTAAATAACTCTAAAAAAACACTCTTGGGCCGGCAGTGGAGTAAGCACCTTCTTTGGCAAGTGCAGGGACACAGGTTCAATCTCTGGTCTCACAGGCCAACAGGCCCCACCCCCGGGTGCACTGAGCCCCCGACTGAGTCTGGGCATGGTGGTACACGCCTGTAACCCCAGCATAGGGGAGGCTGAAAACAGGAATCTGGGCTGGGCAGCAAGACCCTGTACTGAATATATAATTTAAAAACAACACAAAAACATTTTCAATAATTGTAAAAGTTGTGAGTGGTAAGAGAACATTATGTTTAAGTAGCATCATCTGATTCTTACATATATAAAATAATACACAAAAAGCATAAAATAATAATTGTGCAACTTACAATTTATTAGGTCTCATGCAT